GATATTATGGGCGGACTACGACCATCGATGCCTGATTCCGCACCAGAGGAATACAAGAAACTTGCCGAACGGTGTTGCGATGCTGATCCTGATAAGCGTCCAGATGCATATACAGTTTGGGATGATACTTACAACCTTACTGAAGAGGTGGACAAGGACAATTCTGACATATGGAATGCAATTTATCATAATGATGTAAGGCCTTTATCACGTCTCGAGAAGGAGAGTAAATATTCTAGTACGCTCTTACCTACTGGAGATCTGCCTAAACCAAGAAATAGTTCTTATCAGTTACCTATATTATCAGATTTTAGCTTGCCAAGTTTAGAGGTCGGAGTTGAAGAGGAGTAAGGGAGGTAGTTTGGATTAGTGACGGTTACAAAGACAACAATTGGCTCTGTTCATACAAACGAAGTCAATCTACAATATTGATCGTCCACTAAATAAACTTGTTTATTTACAGTTTATACGAGTTTTATTCAAGGGTTTACTCCTCCTCTAATTCAATAAATTAAATACGATATGCTTCCATGTATGTTGAGTTAAAAATAAAATCGTGCATGCTACTATTACTGTTAGACAGCCTTTGCCGGGGTGTCATTTGAATAAAATATAGAGTACATTATTTAAAATTTATGAAATTGGTAATGAGTTTGATGTTAATCGTTCCTGAATAAAATACGTAGCAACATTCGAGCTCGGTTCGAAGCCTCATTGTCAATTTCAGCACCAGCCGTGCTTCTTCTTTCATACCCACCCATTCTGATTGATATGCTATGTTCGTACGTATCATAAACATTACGCGGCTGTTAAAAGCTGCGAACATTTTGTTCTCCGACCTTGATGACTCGCTAGAGCTTATACACGTGGAACCACGATGCAATGAATAAATTGACGCGGTTTCGACACTATCGCTTTGGTTATTCCTCTTCGAATAAAAAGCTTTCAATGACTGATTCTTCCGTTATTAAAGAAGATCAATGTCCCTATTCCTATTGGTCTTTATACTTCAACGACGAAGGTTGTTATGATACCACAAAGAATATATGAGCAATCTAGTTAAAATTTCTAGTCACTGATGTATGGTATTTGTTCTCAAAGTTTACGATTGCAAACACAAGCATGTAAGCATAATCGAAGAGTTTACCAAATACGCTCAAAACATTGATCTGCAAGTTGAAAAGGTTTGTCTGACATGGGTTTATTAGATTACAATAGGTCACAAAATAACTTGCACATTTATTACATTTTAAGGAAACAATATTAAAAACGCGTACAATTAAGCTTGACTATAATCACTTTTTACAGCAAAGTCTGTCGAGCGAGCTTTTGCATCAGCTAAAAACTAGTCCGCGAACTACATTGGATTGTGCAGCAGTGGCGTTATGCGAACTATTATTCGAACCAGATTCTGTCGATTACAAGCTTCGTGTTCTTTTGATTAATTATGGACAAATGACAACATTCCAAGGGCTATCAGCTAACATTATAGGTTATTTGCGAACGTAACTGATTATTACCCTTCGAAACGTTACTTAATTTCTTGTCCTTCTCTAGGACAATTAGTTTCTGTGAGAGGCGTCGTGACATCGGTGCATTGTCCTCGCACATATTCGGCGTCAGTCAACGTCAGATGTGCCATCTGCAACGAAAAGCAGACAGTGCAACTTACTTCTGGTGGGTCACCATCTACCACATCGTGCAAAACTTCCTTTTGTAAGAACAAAGGCACCCACGGCTCTCTAAAATTCGAAAGTCATGTTGATCTAATCGATTGTCAAACAATGCAGTAAGTTTTTTCTTAAGAAACAATTTATTGTAATCGCGCGCAATGACGATTTCTTAATTCGACAGAATTCAAGAAGTATTCGCTTGCGAGAGTTTAATTGTTCCACAAATGGTCGAATGTGAATTGCGACACGAACTGGTGAACGTGGTAAATCCTGGAGATGCTGTATACGTTACTGGTATCGTAGAAGTGAACAGCCAAAAAGGTTATTTTAGTTTAAGGTGGAAAATGATGCATGGAGAACGCATATGTATATTGATTGCTTTTTTTTAAAGGTTCATACAATACCAATAATCGTCATGTGAAGAAACATACTCTATACATCGATGTTGTTTCCATGAACAAAATTTCGAATTCCGAAGAAATTGACCAAGAATATGCCCCATTTATTGCTGAAGACCTGTGTTTGATACATGATATTGTTGGCGTATCGAATGTCTTTAAGGTTAACATCTGAGTCATTGCATCGTGCAAGTCTAATCTTTGTAACTTAAAAGAAAGTTTGACATCAGGTTCTAGTCAATTCGTTTTGTACCGAAGTCTTTGGACAAGAAATAATTAAAGGTAAACAAAACGCGGTAACGCTTGTTAAGTCCTTGAGCAGATTTTAATTCTTCTCTTAATTTTCTAGCTGGGTTATTGCTGTCATTGTTCACCGGAGATCAATCAATACATTATAATGAACATAACGCATTACATGTTTTAATTGTTGGTAAGCATATTAATTACGTTATAGCAGATAAGATGTAGAACTCTCCTTACACGTCCTTCCTCATCTTCTACAAAAGGCGACCCAGGTACACCAGCAGCACAACTTATTTCGGCAGCTACAATGCTCTCAAATATGACGGTTATCTCTAAACAAACAACACCCGTGGAAAACCGAAAATTAACACCACGACTGTCTCGTGAAAATCTATCGAACAGTTGGATTCTAGAAGCAGGTTTGAGTTTATAGGCTTGAGCGTTGAGATTACGACGCGTACGGCAATCACAGGTCTGATGTAATTCAATCAAAGGTCCCCTGGTTGCTTGTGATCGAGGCACATGCCGGGCAGAAGATTTAAATACATTTCAAGATTTGGATGCTTTGGCAGAAGCGCTTGATAAACAGTCGGTCTTGTACGTTGAATTTCTAAAAACACCTTGACAATTCACCTCAATCGAACGCTTAGTTGTAAATTCATGTACGTAGGGTTTATGAAACGGGGATAGCGTGCAAGTTATTATGCAGGACAAGTCTTTTGTAAGTTGTCTAGTGAGGAGTGAAATGATAAAGAGTACCCATTTTAACTACAAGTCATGTTCCTAATAGAGCCACTGCTAATCCTACCAAAGGACATTACGAGTGAGCGTCCTTCACTTTCTTTCCTTCCACGTAATGCGGGCTAACTTATGTTTTATGTTTTTTCGTCCAGCAAATCCAAGACAATCGCCGAGAATACAAAATTAAACAATAATCTGTTATCACATTTTGACCTTGTCTTTCTCATTCTCGATAAGCCTGAGGAAAGTTCTGACAAGCATTACTCGGAACTAATTATGATGGTACAATCTGATGAAATTGGTACATACGTGAATCGCTTTAATATAATATAATCTTTTTAACACGCTCTTGCATCCTCCTTAGACACGTTCTCGAGGTGAATTCGGATCTTCGTCACAATATCCAGGTATCACGATAGACTAGGAACAGGAGATAGCGGTTTAGAAATCTGCAGCTTACTTTATCTTACACATGACAAGGTTTTCGGAACGCTTGTACCAAAGCCGTGACTCACGCAACAGACGTGAAATCTCGTTTGAGGGTATCTCAGGATGAAGGATTTACTCCTGTTCCACCAAATCTTTTGAAGGAATATATAACATATGCGTCAAGACATATACATCCGAGGCATTAACATATATCCTTGTTTATATAATTCCATTCTTTGATAGGAATTCGTCCAATCTTACTCGCTGTTTCTCGTTGTTTAAACCGTAGGATCACCGCATCTTTACGCGAGAAAACAAAATCCGTTTATGAGCATATGCGCCGAAAGTATCGGTCCTTTGTTGACGAGACGATTACTTTGAAACAACTGGAGACTCTATTAAAATTATCCATTGCTCGTGCTCGTGTTGAATTGCGAGATACCGTGACCCAAGAGGACGTTGAAGATGTTGCTGAAATAATGTAACTATTACCCCACTGAACGTGACATATACGCCACATATGGCGTCTCATGGAGAATTTTCCGAGAATTCCTGTATTTACCTTTTTATATTGCTAGAGAACATTGCTTATTGCAAGTCCAGCGAGACGATGTCCATCAGCGAAATGAGTCTGGTAGATATGCATACTTTTTCATCTGCCATAAATATGTTTCATAAAGAGCTGAGCTTGCCCTTTTTTATGCTTTGGTAGGACGTCGATTGAACAGCAGGCAGGCCGAGGCTCGGAGGTGTTTCTAGAATTATCTTTATCACGTGTTTGTGTATTCAGCTATCAAACAATTACTGATTCAGTGGAATCCTTATTTAGATTACTATCGTATCTTCAAGGGATTGCTTCGGCAAATCAAAATGATACTTTCACTCTCGACGAACTATCTCAGATTAGCACAAGTAAGAACCGCATGTCTTCTTCCATCAAGATCAACTATAGCTAAACTTATTATTTCCATGTGCGGCCAGCTTTGAAATTGCAGTATGACAATTTCCAGGCTTTTGTTGATTTCCTGAATGAGCAAGGTTTGGTACTCAAGAAGGCACCAGGAATTTATCAGATTAGATAGATGAGAGTACGATTATTGAGTGTAAATAAGCAATCAACAAACACAAAGACTTGAGCCATCTAATACACTTCATATTCTTCATTATATGACCATATTGTATTCGATCTGCTACTAAAGTCAAACACTCTTTCGTTTATTATTTCATCCACGAGATGATGATAATAACAACAGAATGGACTCAACGAAGAAAGAATGTCATTGACAATCTACTTTTTGAGGCTCTACTTATGTACAAATTTGAGGGGGGAAGGGGAGTAAATGCAGTTTTTAAACTATACAGAAATAGCATTCATGACATTTCAAGAAAGCGAACCGAAAGACAAGAGAAGAGGAAAGTAACTGCGTAAGACTAAGAGGAATATTAAATGAATTTACTTTTGTTTGCTGATTATGTCGCAAATAATAGCTCAAAGCAATCGGCAATCACCCGAAAATAAAACCAATGTTCATATCACGTAAATGCAACACTCTAAACTAATGAAACAATACCTAAAAGGAAGGAAAAAATAGTGATACGCTAAAAATAAAGAAACAAGACATAATGAAATATCACAACAAATAACTGAAATAGCAGTTGTAAGAACATAAGATCATTCCCCGATACTATCGCCCTCTGCCTGTACTGCCCTTTTTGATATACGCCCTGTAACTTTACAAACAGCAGCCTCGATCACTATGACACCGATCACATAAGCTGATCAAACCATTAAAATTATTCTATTTCTCAATTTATAACTGGTTCTTCCCAGACTGACGTGGGCGATTACCCCCGCTCGATCTTCTCTTCTCGTTCTTATTACCCCCAATAGGCGAACCAGCCCTCTCATTTTGAACATTACCGCCTGTGTTATTTGTATTTCCACTGTGTCTAAAATTCCCATTCTGATTTTCAACGTATCTATTATTATTATATTGATTCATCGACGCTCCATTACGATTGTTTCCGGCAAAACCATTACGGTTGTTATTTCCCTGAGCCGTTGAACCTTGATTACGATTGCCGCCTGTGTTAGCACTAGCACCGCTGGGTTTACGTCGTTCTTCAATATGGATAACTGCTTGTCCGACAGTCACTTGTCGAGCATTCAAAGCCGCACGATACGCATCAAGTGTAGAAAATCCAGCAAACGCACATCCCTTGGTGGGTACAACGTCAAGATACTTTGGAGTACCGAATGTGCTAATGGCCTTTTTAACTTGCTCATACGTCAAACCGCTTGCAACCCTGATATAAACAGACAGCGAAGTATCACTATTACGACGGTGTTCTTGTTGACGACCACTTCGTTGTTCACGAACTTGAGGAAGGGGTTTGCCCTGTGGAGGTGCAACTGATGCAACACGACCTTTGGTTTCGGCAAGCTGCGAGCTCCATTTATCACTGCCATTAGCTGCAAGACTGGCCCAGGATTTCTTAACTGGCTCTGTAGAGAGAGTCTGTTCTAACTTGTTGAACTCTTGAGTCGGTGAAGTAACAGCAGGGGGGGAAAGTGGTAAGCCAGGATACGATTGAAGGTCTTCTGGGTTGCTTGTAGCTGGTGATTCCTGAATGGATGTATCAACAACGGCGTTCCTCTCCAAAACTTGAACAGATGTTTCGTCACTCTGGTCATTTGCAGTTTCGACAGAAACTTGTTCGGCAGGTATGACTGATGTTTCATTGACACTACCACCAGCAGAAGCCGCAGAATTTTGCTGAGGTGGAGCCGTTTCTGGCACAGCCGGAACTACAGACTGTACACTGGTTTCTTCATCATCATCTTCTTCTTCTTCTTCAACATTTAAATTTTCATTAACTTTTACGTTAGTTACAGAAGTCTCTTCCGCATAAACAGTTGTGGGTATACTATCTTGGGTGACTGCTTCAGTTAATTGTGCTTCATTGTTTGTTTCAGCATCAGCCGAACGAGCAGGTTCTTCAACGTTATTGGGTTCCGATGTTCCGTTAGACCACGCGTTTACAGGCGAGACGTCTGTCGTTGCTTCGTTATTCCTTTTAGGAGACAGTTCAGGAGCTACGTCAGCAACCTGTGTTTCTCGTGGGTTTGACATTTCATAAATGGGTTCTTCTACTAAGGTTCCTGCTGGAGAAGGTGATGTGCTACCATCTGTTAAAGGCTTTTCAACTGTGTCGGGGATTTTTTCATCTGCAGAGATTCTTGATTCTGCCTCGGTGCTTCCATCGCTGTGGGCGTCTCCTTCCTCATCTTCGTCCACGTCGTTGACAAAACGTGTGATATCGTTCAAAATATGGTATCGGTCTGGAGCAACTGGAGTGAGGAATACTGTTTGTACAAATTTGCGCAGCACTTCATCTCTATTAGCCTTCCAGCCGATTATTTGAAGTACGATGCCGTTTTCGGCACTGGCTTGGGCATCGATGTTTGTTACCTGAACTTTGCAATCGTGGTAGTTCATATTGGCGATTTGTTCTAAAATCTCAGAGTGTCCTGTGTAAACAGGTGCCACTTCACCCTCATCACCGTAAACGAGGGCGCCGTTCGTTGGACCGTACAAACGGTATAACTGTTCTGGTTCTCGGTTGAGAATCGTGTAAAAGTGTCGAGCAAACTCGGTCGCTATTTTTTGTGCAGTGGGCGGGGAATCGTGCTCAACGTGAGCTGCGGTGGTGTTCTTGTTTGCGGTCATCATTATTATGTTCCTTGTTTATATAAGTGATGGTAAGGAAGCGGAAATACAGAGTCTTTATCGTATCAAGGCGCAAAAAAGACGTTAGATAAAAGGCGCACGGTAAAGTGACGAAGGCTCAGGGAATTATTATAAAAGTAGTTGCCTATCTAATCTGATAATGGTTGGTAAGGGTATTTATAATATAAAATTTTTTCCGATTTTTTTTTTTCTTTTTTGTTTTTACGCCTTCCGCAGTATTCTGTGATCTGATCGCTTTTAACAATGTCCTCGTGTGCTGCGTCTGAAAAATCGTTTGACATTGTTGTTACAAAAAGTTCGATTGTGGTCTGATTGGTTTTGTATTATGATTTTGGTCCGTATATGGTAAGGCAGCACTTGCGTAAGTAGCTCCTTACGATTCCACCGATAAACACACGTGCGACGCGGAACCGAAAGCCTGATCGATCCGAGTGGCTAAATTGTCAAACAATGAAGGACAGTTTCAGGTAATAATGTATCAAATCGTCAAAGGGACTACCTGTATAAGACAAAGAAATTTTTTATTTTTCCCCATTTGAATCCCAATATTATACATTTTGCATCACCCAAAACAATCTTTCAATGTTTTGAAAGAAATGCGACGAGAACGAAAATGCCGTAGGTATATATTTTTGGTTTACTGTCACATGATTAGTCGAAAAATGACCTTGGTCATACTATATTTATACAATCTAATACCTTTCCCGTTGTAGTTATCTGACAAACCGATAGAGCGCTATTCTTCGAGTATATCTTTTTTCCATCACGAGCCGCCTTCTTTTATATCCTTAAAACAAGCGACGCGAAATGTTGCTCCTACCATAACTCGGGGCTAACTTACAAATCATCACGAATTTCTTCGAACTGACATGGGTGTGCCTGAGACTGAGACTGTTTGAGATGCGCGGATTGTCAAATATCTTCTTCGCATTCGGGAAGCATCCGTTAAGCCTATTGGTGTGTTCTGTTTCATGCTAACAAACACGATTATAATAAAATTATAAATATCAATGCAGTATAGTCATTGTATCTTCATTAGATATATATACAGTACATGCATGTATATGGAACCATATAGACTTGATACAGTGCGCAAACCTATCGCATGATTGAATCATTATCGAACTCATGATTAGCGAGTAGAAGCAAGAGAATTCATTGTCATTCTACATGTGCGAAAAGAGACCTCCCCACTAGATATCACTTGTCTTTGAACTAGAAAAGTTTAATCTCCTATCAATAGTTCGTCGCCCACCTTATTCGAAATAATATAGTCAAGCAATCTCCTGTGTTCTATTGTTCTCCCCGCCTTTCCCTATGTTATCGTTTGCATCAACTTCATCCGCATCCTCCGCAGAGCCTTCATTGCCATCTTCATCCTCTTCAGTGTAACGCATTCTTAACCATTGCATCCTAGGTCCACTTCGGCTTTTTTCATTAACTCGAAAGCCAAATATTCGTGGTTCATATATCTTCATTTCGTTTTGTGGTTGTAAGTCTGGAAACTGTTGAAACAGCAAATGTGGAAATGTAGTCCCAAAATAGGCGCCTTATAATAAACAATCAGACAAATGTCAGAGAAAAGATAAGAACAATAAACCGAAAAAAAAAAGTCAATTGCATGTAGAAAATATATACTTTACCATCTAGCGTAGTAAATCTAGAACTGGGCGGTACGTATATGTCGAGACAGTTGGGACAAAAGAGCTTAACGGTATCCCGCCCCGGCATATCACTTCTTCCACAAGGAACAACTGGACATGATTGACAATAAACTCGCGGACAAGTACCAAAATGTCCTGATTCATATTTATCAACCTAGCGGCCATAATCAGAATAAATACGAGTTAATATAGTTTGAGGTTTACGATACCATCTAATCAATTTGTTGCATATATTCACCATCTGTTGTAACCCTTGACGTGTTATTATGTAGCGTTGATGTATGAGACCATATAAAAGTTCAGCTGATGCTTCTACAAGTGATAAATCCGGAACTTTGACAAGATCTTCTTCTGAAAGATATTCTAATATTTAGTAAATTTATTATTATATAACGCCAAATCTTACACTTTTTTAACAGAGAAAAAAAAAAGCCTTGATTTCTACTACGAAAATGACACTCTACACACAAGTAATTAGATAATTTACCAGGTTCGGCGTCCAAAATCATTTCCATTGCTTCTTTGTAAAAAGTCACCTGCGTACTCAATCCCGTCAGATTGAAATCGTCTTCAATAAAATCTTCAGCCACTTCCGCAAAATACTCATGGCCAGAAAGCGAACAAAACCATGATATCCATGTAAGAGATTCTGTACCGGAATCATTAGATGAATCGGATTCTGTCAAAATTATGATCAAAAATATTCATTATTTAAGTTGCAGAAAGTCTCGAGAGTAAGTACTATCAACGCATATTATCTATAAGATCTCTTCAATTAGGGTCGTCAGCTAAAGTTAGAGGCAAATGATTCTGATACAAACATGTATGTATCAGCAGTTCATCAGACGTCCAATACTAATTTTTTTTCCAAGCATTATCAAAACACAGCACCTTTGCACAAGAGCAATGACATTAGTTGACAGCATTTCATTACCTTGATACTGTCCATTACTTTCTTGCATCAGTTCTTCTTCATCCTCATCGTCCAGGTGCGAACTGGGGCGACTGCTCGGTTCATTGTTTGATGCATTAACGTTAGACGAACTCCACATTTCTATGCGTTTGGTATATGTAATATACTCAGAGAGGACGCCACTTCTACGATGTGCTTACGCTATTAAAGTGTTAAATTCTCTTCTTTTTTTCTGTTGTACGATAAGTAGTGGGGACGTCGTTGACAATATTGCCGCAGTCTTTCGGGTGCCGAATACGTCATCACATTAATTGTAGTATGTTTGTCCGACTAGTCCGACTAACTCTGACTGGATTTACGACAATCACAGCGAGGCATTAGAAGTAAACCAATACCTTGACTTTAATCTAGCAAAGAACGTACATACATACATGCATACATACATACATACATATCGTTACAATAATATAAAAGCTACTTGTAAAATATTTTGTATATCGCTATACCATCTATGTCAATATTTACAGAAATCACTGCATTAAAGAATTAAATATACGGTCTTTTTAAGCAATTCGCCTATTTCTTCCAGCTTTATATTACCCTCTCGCCACAATCTTGTCGTTTCTTTTAAACTTAATTGCTGCTCGAGATTCATGTGAGTATCAGCGGAAGCATTCTGTATGTCTATATCCGTATTAACATCTCTTGAGTATGGTAGTGTCTCATTCCCGTGCACTTGGCTTTGCAAATAACACCTGAATGCTTTGATCAATTCTGCCAACTCTTTCGGTAGCATACCCGAAAATATAGGGTATCTCTCCGAGTTAACGTGAACACAACACTCCTCCGTATCATCTCCGTATTCAATTTCATGGCCAAAGAGAGCTAGGATTACATGGCCAATAGTGTGACGAGCATTAGCAGGACTAATCAGACAAGTGAGATGTTCTGCGACATACGACGACACCTTTTCAACGGCAAGCAACCTGCCAGCCGTAATAGTATATCGATAATCATCCCCAGAATCTACAATGAGTGGGAAGAATAATGATGTTGGTCGAGGACGAACGCGACGAGAATGTCTGTGATAGACTGGCTTGAATATAACCTGAGTTTGTGGTTGTGCATGTATACCTGAAAATTTTATTTTTTTAGAATCTTCGTTAATATTGTTTATACTAGCTGAATTATTAACCCACATAGCATCTTTCATAGTCTTGAGTTTTTGTGCAATGAAGACAGCGTCTGGTAACTCTTCCGCGGATTTTCGACGCGAATGCTTCCATAGACAGGTAGCCGGTTTTGTAAATTCAACGTAGCACTTTTCTAAATCGTCTCCATGTACTAAGCCCGGGTCATCATCTGGATGAAATATTTTAGCGACTTGTCCAATGCCCTCTCGTAACATCTTTACCACTTCGTTCTTTGGGGGAAGTAATTGAGCTGCAAATTCTATAGTATGATTTCGATTGTAGTTCCAAGGACACGTATTCCATACACGAGGACTGCCGTCGAAAGAGATGCATAACATATTGTGATGAAAGGCCGACAAGAGTAAAATCGATACCAACAAGACATCAGGTTCCTGTTTTAGTTTTGGAGATTTAGACGTTATTTGATATGTACGATCAAATACATTGAGTTCAGGATTTAAAACAGATAGTGCGTCAGCAGATATTTGGTGTACAATCGTGCTCTTTTTTGACGGATAACTAGTTGTGTTTTTTGTTTCATTGAACTCTTCGTCGTCATCAGGGTCCGGTTGAACTTCACTTGCAGCTGCATTTTCGAGTATTTGTTCCGCACGATCCATTTCCTCCTCAATATCACAATCTTGTTCATCTTCTATGTACTCATCATCATTGATGTTTCCAGTCAGATCGCTATAACGTAGACGATTTCTACGTATTCTGTCTCGATCACTCTTCGTTGGGTGGCTGCCAATACCTACATATGCTAACGAGTCGCGCACGCTAAGCACTAAGTCCTGCACTTCGCGTATCCAATACAAACTGACAAAGTTCTCCGTACACCATTGAACCTCCTTCTCTTTGTCTACATTCTCGTCATCATTCCATGTCTCCTCCCATAATAAGTAAGCACGCAAGTGAGATATCAGATCAGACCCACCGTTAAAGGGACAATCCTCTGGTAGATCCTTGTGATATCGCTTGAACGCAGCTGCAATTTCTATTTCCATATTGGCTGGCTGGACAATTATCCCTCTGTTTTGTAGTATTGCTGCTATTATTATGCTATGATTCGAAACACCGAATATTGATCCATATCGTACTAATAATCCAGAATGAAGATCGAGCGGCAATTGTGCGAGAATTTTCCCAAGCTCAGTAGCACGATATTCTACAAAGGAGACGGTCCGTATCCATCCATCTTTGTCCTCATGAGATTCGCCAGCTTTAAATATAGCCCCAATTGTTAGTAAATCTTCTATGGCCAAGTCAATAGCGTCATCGCTCGGGGGATCGATACAACGAGCCAACAGATCGCGTGGATCTCCAAGGTTAGCGTAAATGCTGCGAAGGAGTAGAGAATTCAACGGGATGCGTCCAATTTCGGGGGTGCGTTCTTCGGGGAGTTTGTCGTAGAAACTTCTCGAGACAAATCTATAAAGCTGGAAATTAAATAGTTTTATTATAATAGAAGCACACACGTTTGCTGTCTAACAGAGAATGATTATTTTGTCCTACCAAACCGGGTCCAACTCTACCAGCTCTTCCTCTTCGTTGTTCGGCACAATCTTTGCTTATCCATTGCTCATCTAAACTATACGCTCTACTTATTTCATTGTAAGATATGTCCTTCCTCAAGCAAGAGTCAAATATTATAGTGACATCGGGTACAGTAATCGAGCTCTCGGCAATGTTCGTTGCAAGAATGACCTGTAAAATATTGATGATTAGCAACCAGATGTAAGGGAGCGTTAGAATCACAACAATGATTACCTTCCGTGTTCGTTTTCTTGGACGTCGCATGACTAAGTGTTGTTCATCAATTGTAACAGTTGAATGAAGTTTTATTATTTCTAAGCGATTGGGGTATTTGCGGCCCTCAAAATTCGCCACTTGTCTGAATTAACAACGCCAACACGTCAGTATTATATCCCTCGAAATGAAAATTTGATTGAGATTTAATAGTAAGATTACTTGTAATATTCATTTTGATATATTAATTCTTCCTCCTGTAAACAAGAACGAGTATACATTAATTTTCTCTCACTTTTATCATAACTTATTATAGAATATTATCAATTACCAGTTCAGCAATAATAGCTATTCCGGGTAAGAATACCAGAAATGCTTCCGTGTAAGGCTTCATACTATGGCATTTGATGATCCATTCGACAAGAACTTTTCGCCTTTCTGCTGTTAACGTTGGTTTCTGTGGCTCTTGCATCGCAGAATTAGCATACGATTCTCCAAGTTCTAGTCCTTCGCATACATCTTCCAGGTAGAATACTTCGACGGGATAAGTACGCGCCTTTACATCTATGCAAGGTATTTCTAAGAAAGCATCATCCTCGTGCACCTCGAAATCACGAAAGTATTTGGCAAACTTGCCCACGTTCATGGTGGCCTGTGAAATATGGACGTAGCATTAATATTACAATAAGTAGGTAGGCGTTATAGTATGTCACATGTCAACTTCCAACCCAGAATAGCATACTAACAGACATAATTATTAACTTCAGTTTATGGTTCTCTCCCAAAATAGAACGTAAATGAGCCATCATCAAGTCATCATCCACATTCCTTTCGTGAATCTGAAATTTTTCGCGGAAAGACAATTAGCAACCAAGTAAGAAGACATAATTAGCAAATGCTTTCGAATACACTTGATACCTCATCCATTATTATATGCGAATATATGCTTAACTTTCGATCAGATTTGAGGATTTCTAATAAAACTCCGGTCGTTACGTAACGTAATCTGGTCGATGAACTGACGCCTCTTTTCCCCCCAATATGATATCCCACTAGACCATGCCGCTCCGTCCCTCTTTCTCTGCTTACTCGATCTGCCAGTGAAGTAGCCGCAATACGGCGCTGTTATTAGAACGAGATATGAACGTGATTAGTTAAATAAACGTCTCTGACAGGCATGTCTGAATCCAAAGACTTACCGGCTGAGTACAGATTATGTTCGCACGCTCATTTCTTTGTAAACAATCATCGAGAATAAACTGAGGAACCTGAGTTGACTAAGAAATGACCATGTAGAATAAGCTTTTAATTCTTCCATTCATATTAAATCTGAATGGGATCGCTTAGCGCTATTCAAATACCTTGCCACATCCTGTGCTACCACTTAAAATTACAACTCTATTTTCACGAATCAGATTAACAATATCATCCCTTCTCGCATCTATAGGCAAGTCTGATCTGTTTATATGTTTCATCTGTATCGAAGGTGGATGTATGAGCGGATTTGAGTACGTAAATTCACTTGTGGATATTTCAGACGCGCTATGTTCGGCGTATTGTAAGGTTGAAAAATCGTTCGCCACCGACCCGATGGCCTTGGACTCTTTGTCTTGAAAGTCCAAACGCGTTGCATTATCTGATATTGCTAATTGTACGAAACGTTCCGATACTTCTTCCTGATTGATATTGTTTGAAGCCGCTAGCTTGGTTGACTCTTGTGACTTCTTTTCTGCCGCTTCCTTAACCATTTTGGCAAAGTCTATGAAGTCGACGGAGCAATTGCTGTTACAGGAGTCGCTACTGCACGTCGATTCACTATCGCTTTCGCACTCCACGTCTGAGCTGGACAGAGATGGGTTACATTGTTCCGACAGAGTTTCAATCACGGGTGAGTTGGAGGAACTGGTCGACTTTTGAGGTGAGACATAAGGAAAGACGTTTGTATTGGAAACTTGATAAGCATCTTCAGAGATTATGATCTCTATGTCGCTCGGTTCACTAATTATTCCGTTTGATTCTTCCTCTTCTGTGTCTACAGATCGTGACCAGTCGTCGTCGCTATTACACATTATAGTCTTAGAATGCGAATTTCCGCAATGATAGCATTAAATTTATGCGATCGTGGTACAAAGCTATATTCGCATACTATTACCGGATTGGGAAAACAGTCGCACTGCGCACAGTATGCATTCTCTGA